TATGAACATAGGGTTGCATGTCAGAGCTGTCTTCTTGACCCTGAGAATCCTTTGCAGCTCCTGTCAACTAATACAAGCAGTGCCCTCTTCAGGTCAAATAAGTAATTACTGGGGACATTTCTATAATTGACAACTCTACACAGAAAAAACTTAGTTTAATCTAGATATGTGTTCAGAAAGTTATCTGTTTATATGAGTTTCTGATTCTTATTTCCAGTCAATGAAGAGACCTTGATTATTTATTCATTTATTTATTTATTACAAATTTTTATGAACTTATTGGGGTGACATTGGTTAATAAAATTATATAGGTTTCAGGTGTACAATTCTGTAGTACAACATCTGTATATTGTATTTCGTGTTACCACTCCAAGTCAAGTCTTATTCCATCACCACTTATGCCTCCATTTTCCTCTTCTACCTCATTGCACCCCTTTTCTCTCTTGTAATCACCATTATGTTGTCCGTGTCTATGAGTTATCTTTCTTTCTTTCTTTCTTTCTTTCTTTCTTTCTTTCTTTCTTTCTTTCTTTCTTTCTTTCTTTCTTTCTCTTCTTTTTTGCTTATTTCCTTCATGTTTTTCACCTAGCTCCCCAAATCTTCTCTTCTCTAACAGCTGTAAGTTTGTTTTCTTTTCCATGAATCTGTTTCTATTTTGTTTATTTATTTTGTTCATTAGATTGCATATCTAAGTGAAATCATATGCTATTTGTATTTCTCTGTCTTATTTTACTTAGCATAATATTCTCCAGGTCCATCCATGCTCTCACAAAATGTAAGATTCCCCCCCTTTTTTTACAGATGAGTAGTATTCTATTGTTTTCCCCCAAAATAAACCCTGAAGCAAGGACTCAAGTGAAGAGAATATGTTTAGGAAGAGATGTTAGGGGCATGAGTGAGAAAGTATATAGGACAATGTTGGGGCTTGATTCTGTCAGGATCTCCCAAGAAAAGCTTAGGGTCCCTTTCAGGATTGTCAGCTGGAAATCAGGAAGCTAGTACATTTAATTTATTGGCCCTGTTTCATCATTGGTTGGTGCTTGCCAGGAGGGCTGGTAATTCCCTTGTCCTTTCAGGCTCTGCTTGACCGTGGACTGAGTGAGCTCCTGAAGAGTCAGAGGAGGCCCTGGAGGTCGAAAGTAGAAGTTGTACAGTGCATGCTTAATGTTGGATGTTACCAGTTTGAATGAGTCTGAGTATCCACAGAATTGTCTACCACAGCTATTAATAAAATCAGAGCTAGACATTTGAATGTGGCATCAAGACACACATGCTGTTTGCACTACTGAGATGCATGCTTGTCCCTGCATTACTGAGTTTTCAAGGTTTTGGCTCGGTGCAATCTATTTAAAACACTCAATACAGGAGGGTTTTAAATAAATTGCAGCCAGCCAGAACCTTGAAGACTCAGTTTAAACATTTAATTACTGCTTCTGGAGAACGGAATTTTAATCACTAAGAGTGTTGCCCCTGAGCGGCTTCTTAGCTGAGCCTTTGACATGAGCTTTGGGCCCCACTTCTTTAACAGGTAGCAAGGCTGTTATTGATAGTCATCTTCTCTCTCTTCTGCCACACTCTCCAGTTTCCTTGGACAGCACTTCAGCAGACCTAGGTTGCTTGCCTGGTGGGTGACCCAGACCCTTCATTGCTGAAGGGTCACAGTTCTTAATCACTTAGCCCATTTTTAGACCTCTTATCAATAATCCCCACATGTTGTTTTTATTGGACATGGAAATGCCCAATATGAAACACTGAAATTCCAGATGTATTCCTCCTTGCCCTTATTGTATAGCAACAACCTAGTGCTTCATGACAATCAGGGCTAATTACCCCTCCAAGTCTAATAACCCATTTCTTTGTCTGCTGGTTTATTGGCACAAGGAGTTCAAAGTGACCTGGATGATGGTCATAACTAGTTTCAGTGGGACCTTTGCTGAATCCTCTGGTGGAAACATTCTTCCTCTGGGAACTAGCCCTCTAATCCAATGGAACCTATCGTTGAGGGAAAGAGAACAATAAATTCTGGAATGGGTTATAGAAGAGACGTGAGAAGAGTCTATTCCACAACCTTTTCTTAGTTTCTACACTTGTGTATATTAGCTAGGATGCTAAAAGTATCCACATATCAGCCATTGGCTTAATAAATAACTGCTTCTCGAGAATAGCATTCTAGCCACTAATGTCGCCCCTGAGCGGCTACTTAGCTGAGCCTTTAACAGGCCATTCCATCATTTCCTCTGGATCATCTGACCTATATACCACGGACATAGGTCATCTTTCAGGTTCATGGATGGACAAGTGAATGTCCTCCCAAGTTATGCCTCCACTGTCACACTTATTGTATTCTAAATTAGGTACTTTCTTCTGAGGAGATTCAGTGTTAGACGTGGATGAGAAAATAAAAGAAAATTGGAAAAAATTTTTTTAAAAAGCTTTAAGTAACAAAATGGAAAAGTTTAAGATTATTGGAGGTATGTGCTCCCAGGCAAATTATAAAAATTTTCTGGGTCATGGAAATGCTTAGGAAGTCTGATCTGTCACATATATCATACAAAGCTATGAGGATTACATGTGATAATATGTATGAGGACTCTTGGTAAAATTGGAAGGCACTGCACATGCCATTATTTTTGTTGTAATTTTAAGGATTACAGCTTGCAGACATCCATCTCTCTCTGTTTCTGATATTCAGATATAAGGAGTTTTAATTCCCAAGAAACAACAATGATTTCTATGTTCCTGTTAAGCAATTACTCCCCCACTCCTTGACACAGGCACTGAAGTCAGAGGTTTCTGTAAGCCTCTCCCTGTCACTCATCTCACTGTGCCCCTCTGAGAGCACAGAAATACACTGCAGCATCCTCCAGCTGGCAGTCTGAGATCCTGAGGCTGAAGTTTTTGGTTGCTTTCTGGAAGTTGACAAAGAAGCGATGATCTGTTGCATTTTGTTGCTTAAAAGCCTCTTGGCGGATAATGAAAATCATCTCCCCACTGGGAGGTTGTTTGTACCAGAACAAATAATAATCAGTCCCACTAGTGTCATATGTGCAGGCCAGGGTCGCGGTCTCTGTCTCCTGCACAGACATTTCTTGTTGAGGCTGAGTGACCTTCTGGGCCACGCTGGATCCTGTGGGAAAGAGGACAGAAAGGACTGCACTGAGAATGGCACCAGAGAGATAAAGCAGGCAGACTCACAGCTGGTTCCCATCCCCACCCACCTTTCCTCTTAATCCAAACTTCAGGCAAAATCCATCACCATTTTTGCTTCCAATAGCTGGTATCAATGAGGAGGTAAGATCCCTGTGTTTTTAATCTTTTTTCCTACTTTTCAATCCTACTGGGTACTTGAATATCAAATACGTGTGCCTTACCAAGGCAGGTGGAGACCACGAATGCCCACAGCACACTCCGGCACACCATGCTGGCAGCTCTCTTCTACAGGGTGAAAGTCTCTTGTTCTGACCTGAAAGTTGGGTACCAGCTGTTCTCGGTGACATCACTGTCAGAACAGGAAATGGTAGGTCAGGTGGGTGGTTGATTATGTCTTGCTTTAAAAACGTTTATCAAAGACTTTTTTCTTTTGTTTCAGAGAATAAAAGTTTGGCTATAACTCCAAAGGAAAAAAGATGTTAAATCTCCAATTTAGTAAATAGTTTATGTAAAGACGTTATCTTGGAGAGGAGAACAGTATAGGTGGGAAAATGGTATAGGTAAAACTAATATAATGACTTCAGTTTTCTCTGTAAGCTTTCTTTTTCTTTCTTCTCTCTCTCTCTCTCCTGTCCCTCCCTCCATCTCTCCCTTTCTCCCTCATCACTCCCTTTCGTAGTAAAGCCAATATCATAATTGTCTCTGCATTGCCATAAAAGAGGTTTTGATTATACTATTATTCTTTGGCCAATTCTCTATTTTAATCATTTCTCAAAACACTAATCCTATCTAATAATAGACAAACATGGTAATTATCCGTACCTCCAAAACGCTTCCCATTGGCTAATCAGGGCAATATGCAAATTAACTGTCAACCAAGATGGCAGCCGGCAGCCAGGCAGCTGAAGTGAACAGGAGGCTTGCTTGCTCCTGTGATGGAGGAAGCCAAGGTTCCCTGCCTGCCACTGCCCAGCTCTGAGCTGCACTCTAAGCAACTATGTTGCAATTATAGAAGCTAAACATCCCCAGAAACCTGCTTTCAGCCAGCCGGGCCTCAGAGCTGGAGTTGCAACAGTGTTTCAATTATAGAAGCTAGACAAAGTCCAGAAACCTGCTTTCAGCAGCCGAGGTCTCAGAGCTGGAGCCGAGCCTCAGAGCTAAAGCCGGCTCTCAGCTCCAGTGACAGCCATAGAAGGTAAATAAATTTCAGAATAAAAAAAAAAGAAAAAAAGGAGAGGTTGGGAGCTTCTGTCACCCGCCAGCCTGAAAATGGCCCTCAGCCCCTCACCCAGACTGGCCAGGCACCCCAGTGGGGACCCCCACCCTGAAGGGGGTTGTGACCAGCTGCAAACAGCCCTCAGCCCCCTCATCCAGGCTTGGCTGGGCACCCAAGCGGGACTCCCACCCTGATCCGGGACACCATTCAGGGCAAACCAGCCGGCCCCCACCCGTGCCCCAGGCCTCTATCCTATATAGTAACAGGGTAATATGCAAACTGACCCTAACAGCAGAAGGACTGGGAATCACTGGTCACTATGACACACACTGACCACCAGGGGGCAGACGCTCAATGCAGGAGCTGCCCTCTGGTGGTCAGTGCGATCCCACATGGGGGAGCTCTGCTCAGCCACAAGCCAGGCGGATGGCTGCCAGTACAGTGGTGGTGGTGGGAGCCTCTCCTGCCTCCTCAGCAGTGCTAAGGATGTCCGACTGCAGTTTAGGCCTGCTCCCTGCTGGCAAGTGGACATCCCCCAAGGGCTGCCGGGCTGCCAGAGGGACGTCTGATTGCCATCTTAAGCCCAATTTCCCGGGGAGCAGGCCTAAGCCAGCAGGTGGTCATCCCCTGAGGGGTCCCAGACTGTGAGAGGGCACCGGCCGGGCTGAGGGACCGTCCCTCCCCCCCGAGTGCACAAATTTTTGTGCACCGGCCCTCTAGTCCTCTATTATAAAAGGCTAATGTGCAAATTATCCCCTCAACCTGGAGTTCAACTGGGAGTTTGACCAGGGGGCGGAGCTGGCTTGCCAACTGCCCACAACCCCTCCCCTGAATGGCCCCGCCTCCAATTGGCCCTGATTATTGTGGGCCGGCTGGACCCCACCCATGCATGAATTCATGCACGGGGCTTCTAGTACAATGATAAAAAAAACAGCAACACCCAGTCTAGAGAAAATCAGAACCAGAATTTTGATATTTAATTGCTCTGTTATTTATTTGAAGACTGTCTTCTTCTTCTTCTTCTTCTTCTTCTTCTTCTTCTTCTTCTTCTTCTTCTTCTTCTTTTTAAAGAAGACTTGCCTTTGCTGTGTCAGGGAGCTCTACAACTCTACAACACAGGAGGCAAATGTTCCTATAATAGCTTTGGTGCACATCTCATCATGGCTTCTGAAAGAAGAACCAGCACAATTCATTTAAAATTTATTTGAGAACATTCTGTGTTGCACACCTAACAGAGATTCATTGGCATCTAATTTTCCCTCATGCACACATTCTCCTGTGAGAGAAGAAAGGTCAGAAACTATGGTCCTCATTTTATAGAAGAGGCAATTGCACAAAAATGAAAACTCACAATGCAAGAAACTACTAGTTTCATTTGCATTAATTTTCCTTTCCTACTGAGTTTGTGTCATCCAATCTTAGGTAAGGCCATCTCTATGGTCCACTTTATGTAACCTTGCTTCTCCCCTGCATAAGAGAAGAAAAGACTAAATTAAAAGCTGATTTATCATATAGAGAGTGATGGCATTAACTTTCCCAACCTGTTTATTATTTCCATTTGGAGAATGTGGTGAACAATGGGCATTTTTGCCACTAACCACAGATCTCCACAGGACTTCTTGGAGTATACCTTGGTGAGGTGCTGTAGATGGCACATTCTTTCTCTTATTTACCAAGTAATTAAAGTTCTGCCATGCCTACTATTTTTTTTGTGTGTGAGAATCACATGACATTGCTAAAAATGTTGTTACTTTATCATTTCCCCCTCTCTTCTTCAGTGTTTATAGGTAACTCCAGATGACCCACCTGTCTTTTCTTTCAATCTCAGTCCAGCTGAAGCTGTAAGTTCACAAATGAGGCTCCCAGGAGTACACATTTCCTCCCTCTGGCCTGCATGCACTGTGCCTGTAATGCAGTCAGGGAGCTCTATCCAGAGGGTCCATCCTGCTGATTTAGATCATTTCCTGACCCTCTGGGCCCAGCCAATCAAACTTTCGTGTCTTACTAGTATATCCATCATTCAATCAGTCCCTAGTTCCCACCAATTGTTAATCAGGTTGCTGAGTTCTGAGATTCAAATAATATTATCTGTAGGATGTCCCCAAAAATGTATATACATACTTTTAAAAATTATAAAAGCAGTGTTTAATAAAGTACATTTCACTTTCAAAATTTATCTTCAGCTGTTACAGTGTGTATACATTTCTCTCAAGTTGGCAAACATGAGGTTAGAAAACTGTCTTTTCCTTTAAAAAATAATAAATATTATGTCCAGATGATAGTTGTTGTTTTTTTTTCTCTCTCTGTGTGTGTGTGTTTGTTTGTTTTCTTTGTTTTAAGTAAAAGTGGTTTCTTGGGTTGGGTCGTTTAGAGTCTGTAGAAGGTTGTGAGCAAAGCCTGATTACAAGATACTAAGCAGAAAATAAGGGTGAAGAAAGAGAGAAGACAGGGTGGGGGGTGGGTGGGTGGGAAGCAGTACCTCATCTGGGCAGTCTGATAAATTCCAATGTGCTCATTTGAAATATCAACAGTATCTGGCAACTACTGTCATAAGGATTTCTCATAGAAGTAAGCCGGTTAGACAAGAAAAAGTAAAATCCAGAAGAAAAATATGTGAGCATCACATGGCTACTCTCATATTCTCAAGGGAGAACTTCTGCAGAGGCAAACACTAAGGCACATCAACAATTAAA